CAGGTTTTTCTTCTGTGTGTATTCTGGCCAAATGTTGAGGGGAAAGGCTAGAATAGAAAGCTTTGAATGTCCCCAAGAAAGGGTACTCAGTTTTATTTCTTTGAGTCATCTGAGTCACCCCCCCACAAACACATACTAATTCATTCCCCAAGGGGTCTCTGGTGAGAGAGCGACCCCCCCCCCCGCAGAACGCTGTGCTCACACCCAGACCCAGACACCAGACACCCAGTGCAAACTCCACCAGCCTGTGCTTACCTGCATGGTCCTTGTTCCTACGGTAACTTGAATAACCACCGATAAGGATTCCGAATAGACATTTCCCTTTGGGCTGAAACCACTTTAGAGATCTTTTAAAATACTACTTCATCCTCTTCAAATATGTGGGTTCTTGGTTTTGGGGTTTTTTTTTCGATTTTATTTATTTGAGAGAGAGAGAAGAGCCACAAACTGAGGGAGAGGAAGACAGGGAGGGACAGACTCCCCGCTGAGCAGGGAGACCAACTTGGGACTGGATCCCAGGACCCCAGGATCATGACCTGAGCTGAAGGCAGACACTTAACAGACTGAGCCACCCAGGTGCCCCAACTTTAAATGCTTTAAAACATATATCCTAGAATCCTGGTTGGATGCCCCCAAACTTTCGGAGGGAGTTTTGCATTGAATCCTGTCTGCAGCAGGGGCTGAGGGCCATGTGCTGTGCACGGGAATAATGAGCATCAGTGTGGAAGTCTGAAAACTTGGGCAGGAGGAACAAAGCCCCCACTTTGGGTTAAGGGGGCCCCCAGCGTCGGGCTCCTCCATGTGTAGATGGCATCACCTGGCTGTGGCGTCTTCTCTTCTGACTCGTCCCGCCCATGGGAAGGGAAAGAAGAGCTCTGAAATAAACGAGGCTAAAATTCAGTTCAGGGATGGAGTTTGGGGTTGAGGTGACACCCCCAGCAAAGCAGAGGTGACTGCACTTACAAGGTCCCTGAGCCTCAAGTGGTCTGAAACCTGGAACGGAGCCCCCAGGGCACTTTAGACTCAGACAAAGAGGAGTGTGAGTTGGAAAGAAATTTTATGCTCCCATTTGGAAGAAAACCCAGGATTCAATTAAGCCGTTTTTAATGAAAATCACCAATTAAAGAGGAGACTCCCAGATTGTACCTAAATGTTTATTTCTGTAAATCCTGCTTCGTGTGTGGTCTATTTAATTATACTAATTAGCTACACTGATGAATGCTTCTGTTTATCTTTTAAAATATTTTTTAAAGGATAATTAAACAGAAAGTCATTTTAATCACGCTCCCTCTATTAAACCTACCTCCAGGCAGCCTCTTATAGTGGTTCTCTCTCGAGATCACTTGGGGACCTGTTAGAAACCACTTTCTGCAGCCCGAAACTTGAATCAGAAACTCTGGAGGTAGAGCCTGGCAATCTGCACGCAGAAACTGGACATCTGGTTCGCAAACCCCAACGTTAACAACGACAGAGAGCGACAGAGCCTCACCTTTCCCTTCTCTTTTGCAAGGCGGCTTTTTTGCGTCTTGTTTCTCCTCTGCACCTGATGCCGATGTTTCAAGTTCAGGAATCCTCTTGAGAAAGGTTGAACTCTTTCTGACATTCTCCTTCTCTTCCAATCGCAGCCTCAGGGTGGCCACCCTGGACAGAATTTTCTTCTTCACCCCCTCAGCTAAATGTCCACTCCCTGAGGTTTCTTGCTTCTTGACCTCCCCAGAGCCACTGGCTGCTGGAGGGGACTTTGGGAAGCTGAGGGTCAGGGCGGCTGTGTGCCTGAGCTTCTCCTCCCTTGGTTTTCCCCCATAGCCCAGATTGGAGCCCTGTTGACATGGGGACTTCAGTGTCTCAGGAGCCTTCTCTGATACGCATTCACCTGCAATGGATGCCAAGGTCACGGCTGGGGAGCCCGATGCACCGGCGGGTTTGGTTTCCCCAGTGTGGGGCTCCTCCATTGCAGGTGCCTGGTTTTTGTGGCTTTTTGAAAAGTTTGTGATGTTTCCTTCAGGACATGAAATAAAAGGCAACCGAGTGAGCCCACTGGGAGAGGGTGAATGTTTCCCACACTCACTCTCAACGGCTCCTCTCTCCTTTGAGTCAGAAAATGCGTATCGGTGGTTTCTGGGCTCCACTAAACCCTTCTCAGGGACGTCATGAATTTGACCCGAGGAGTTGTGAATATCAACTCCAACAGATGCATGAGTCACCACTGCAGGGCCATCAGAAAGAGGTAAAGTGGGGAAAACAGATTCTGCTTTGTTGTTTTTACTTCCTTCAGTCTCCCCTGAGCTTCTCATGATGCCCTCTTGTATTTGGCTGATTCCACGTCCGCGTGGAAGTGCTCCCTCACCTTCGTCAGGACTCGGGACTTGCAAGAAGGCAGGCTGGACTTCTGGTCTCTGGCCCATGGGCCCATCATTCCGTTTCCTCTCCTCTCTGATGACAGCTGGCGTGGATGCCGAAGGCCCTGCTGTCTCAGCCCAGGCGCACACCATCACATCTGCTTCATCCGTGGGATCCACAGAGGACTCTACAATTTTAGGACTGGTCAGAAACCGTTTAAAGAAGGCAGTGTGATCCGCCTGGATTCGGTTTTTCTCTCGGTTTTGACTCACACTGTTAATATTTTCCCTCTTTCCAGTTTTGCAAGTCTCTGATAGCAAACCTGTGACATATAATTCCTTTTTGTCTAAAGGATCCACAGATGACTCTAGGAGTCTGGGTTGGCTCAAATACTCGGAAGAAAGACTACTCCAATATGCACGGCTGGCTGGTTTTCCATTTTCATGGGTTTCTCTGTTATTAGCAAGGACTGAGCCAGACTCAGCCTGAGGGCTGTGAGCCTTGAGAACGTCCGATACAGCCCAGACCCTGTCAGGAATTATGGGACCAGCTTCCAACTCCTCGTACTCGGAACCTGTCGGTTGTGTTGGTGGCCAGACTTCTGGAATGGAAGCTTCCAGAGGTATAACCTTCAGCTTGCTGTCTGCTTTCCAGAGTCCTGGCCCGCTTCCTCCTGACTCTTCCAGGGGGATATTAGAGAGAGCTGGGATGTGGCTTGGAGCCTGACCCCTATCTTCCACAGGGGCTTCAGCCACCTTGCACACGCTAGTCCCCAGGCCTGAGCTCTGTCCTCTCTCCTCCCTGGAGTTTGCTGATAAGCGGTCCAAGGACACTGGGTCTATTTCCCCTTGGGCAACAGGTGTCGTGGGCCAACTTTCTCGGAAATCATCTTCAGGAGGAGAACTCTGTTGGGGTAAGCTCTCCTGCTGGATCCTCTGTGTTGTTTCACTTTCCTTGTCTTGGAAATTCTCTTCACGGCTCCTACTGTCTGCTCTGTCCACTGTCAGGCTCTTATTTCCAGAATGGTTATCAGTCTGAAGAGGGGAACTGCAGCAGAAACCCTCTACTTCTGGGAGCTGAGGTACATGGACGTGGACCCCTGGTCCACTGGGACCCTTGCAAAAGGGCTCTTCTAAAGATGTGGTTGTGGAATCATTTAAAATATGACCCAACTGTGCACTGGAAGGAAGCTGGCAAATATTTTCATCCGGTGCCCGAGGTGAACTCTCCTTGGGACCATCTGCATGACTGTTCTCAGCAACTGAAACAGGGAGGTATTTGGCTGGGTGGACTTTGGTGGCCAAGGTAACCGTCGATGTGTCCCCACTCTCCCTGGTCACCTGAAGACACTCAAGATTAGCAGTTAAAGTCATTGGCTTCTCCTGAGGAAACATTACAACCGGACCATTTCTGGCTGGCTTGTCTGCAGTGTCTGGGGCACTGGTACTGGGACACTCGTCACTGCCTTCTGGAAACTGCACTGAAGACGTGTTCTCAGAACACAGAGGCTGTCTTTCCTCAAACCCTCCCGAGTTGCTGGGGCTTGGCCTCTCCCGGCCAGTCTGTACTAAGGAGACCACTGTGGAGGTGACATTCTCCATCTCTGCTAAATTTTCCCCTGTGCCACCTTCCCTGGCTTTTTGTGAAATGTTCCAGGTAAAAGTACTGGTGAAAAGAGGGGGCATGGCAGAGTTTCTTTCCTTGCTGCTCTTGCATGGAGACTGTGGAAGCTCAGAGCCTCGTGTTTGAGAAAGAATGCCTGGCATCTCGTTATCATGAGAACAGGAATCAGATACTTTGCTTTGACTCTCCGCCAGCTCTAAGTCCATGGAGCAAATTTCCTGAGGCAAATATTTATCAGCTGAGGCTCCAACAGGAGAATCCGTCTTTTCACAGGTTCCTTGGTCACGTGCTTCAAGACGCTCCAACACGCTCGCTGCTTCCCTGCCCCTTGGCCCATCGTATAAGGTTTCCAGGGTGGAGCTGGTATTTGTGGGGTCAGGGGAAGCAACAGAGAGAGCCTTGGGCTCCCAGGGGTCAGCACTGCCCTCCTGGGGGAGAAGCACTGACAGCTCCCAGGGGGATGTATTTTCATTATTGGCATCTGGGATGCTCAGCTCATATCCTAGGTCTACCCAGGAACCTCCAAGTGAGTGGTCTTTTCTGTACTGCTTTTCTCCATGCTGTGGGCATCGAGTACAGCTTCCTAGCTCCAGGTGTTGGGCCAATGATGTGTCCTCCTCGTCGACCCCTCCTACATTGGGGAAGGAATTTGTTGTGGTCCCAGCAAATGCAGACTGCTCCCCAGCAGGATCTGAGAACGCTGGCAACTGGCTGAGAAAGTCTCCCTCCCTGACTGTTTCCTGAATTTGCACCTAGGAAGATGAAAGTGATATTAATAGACTTGTTCCTAGGAGAGCCCCCAATTGAGCATTCCTGCGAGCCCAAGAATGTTAATCCTCGATGACTGTCATAATGGACAAGAGGAGTAGCAGGAATGATTGAAATCTAAACACTGGTCCCCAAACCCTCTCTAGCTATTAGAGACTTCCTGGAGAAATGCACATTTAAGCAACTATGTTCCAGGGGACCCTTGGTCAAATTCCCCATTATAAGCAAAAAGCCTTCTGACCGTCATCATTTAATGCTTTCTTGTCTCTCTCTCAGGAAAAAAAGACAGAAATAAATTGAATATAAACTATTCTGATCAAGTGAAGTCACCAGAGCCTGTGTGCATCTCTCCAGAAAGATATATTTCACGTGAAATATACAGTGCTTAAAGTAGTAATGAACGACCTTTGTCCCCAAGATATGGCAGCTTGCTGGTTAATAATGTTACTAAAGAACAGAGAAAGGCCTGTCCTCTGAATCTGCCTCTAATGAAGTAACAGGTTTATGTCTGGTCACCAGCGCTGCCAATTATCTCCCAGGAAGGTTATAAAATCCTAGAATGCCTCTTCCCCTTTAAAACAGATGCCCTGTGGCAAGCAGACCATGTCCACGAGAAGTCGAAGATTCAGGGGAAGAGAGAGAGAGAGAAAGGGGTGGAGGAAGGAAGGAATGGAAGGAGGAAGGAAGGAAGGAAGGAAAGAATGGAAGGAAGCTAGCTAGCTCACTTTGTGAGGAGTAAACCCTGACTGTTTTGTGATGTTGGCTATTGTTTAAGGAAGCAACAAGATCTTGGACTACATTCTTGTCTCTTAAAACTTTTAGCTCATCAATTATTTCAACACACCTCAAAATCATGCCCAGCCAACAAAAAGGGAATTGCTGCTAAATTTTGGCAAGTACCTCTATCTTTGCTCCCAGGAGTCCCACTTTGGAACAGCCCTCTTCAAATGTGCAGAAACTGATAAATGGGCTTATAGAGGGGAGGAGACAGAGTCTCCCAGTGTATGACAAAGCCAACCTGGAATGATCCTGGGTACGGTGTGGCTCCAAGTCCTGAGGCTCCTTCCCATAAATCACAGGGGAGATCTTGGGTCTTCTTGCCCTGCAGGCAACCCGTTTACGTACTACCAGTGGGGAAAGAAGGACATAGCCTCACCGCCCTCCACACTCCCCCAAGGCTGCCTGCCGCCACCACCGATTCCCTCCTTATCTCCTCCTTAAACGCACCCTGATGTTCATTTAATTCTGATCTTATTGGCATACAAGCGCTAAATGAACAAGAAGAAATTTAGGATAATTTCCCGCGCTATACAGTCCAGGAGGGCTGGGACCATCGTCGATTCAACAAATGTTTATTGACGGCCTCCAGGGTACCAGGGAGCGTCCCCGGTGACGCGGACACAGCACCGACAAACTGCCCATCGGGAAGGAGCTCCCTTTCTGTGTCGTCTTCAAGCCTGTAAGAGCAATTAGCACCTACCAGGTGCACCATAAGCGCTTGTTGAAGGAAAGAGTAAATGAATGAACCATGCACGTTCAGGCAGCTCAAGCCAATGTCACCCATTAAACCTCTAAATCTGAAGGGCTTTGGACTTCCATCTGCTCCCGACTTTGGGAAAACTCTATTTTAAAAAAAGACTTTTAACCAGAAGCCAGGGCACTACTGGCTTGCATCCCAGGGTTTCTTAAAAAGAAAAATGTATTTACTTTCTTTCTATAGCCCCCATCACATTAAAATGGAAAAGGGAAAACAAGGAAGCTCACTTCTGGGAAATAAGAAACAAGGGTTTGTTTCTTTTTTTCTTAGTGTCAAGAAGTTTAAGATGTATATGTTCTCACCTCTATACCTGAACCTCTGTAGCACATATAGAGAATGCTCTTTCCATTCGCTTTTTTGGTTCAGTTTTTTCGTAACGAGCTGTAGTACAAAATATACTGAAATATCAAGCATAGAAAGTGTGGGTAGTTTCCTGGTCATGATTTGAGACATGAGGGAAGACTGTCCAGTTAAAAACACCAGGACCCTCTCCTGAGCCTTCTTCCCTGGCCCGAATTTCCACGGCCTATGTCAGTCCTTTATTTTAAGGTCCTGTCATCATTGCATTATCATCAGTGCCAACAGACATTTATGAAGTAGCTGCCTCGTATAGAACTCTCTGCCAGGCACTGGACAATTTTTTCCCAAAGGGCTCCCGTTAAAAAGCCACTATGTTACTTACTGGGATGCTACCCACCCATTATTGCTCATCACCAAACGACAGAGTTATAGGCTGATACCTAGCAGACACTAGTCTCTGGAGAGGGTGCATCACAGGACGAATGAGTTTTGATCAGGGGGAGTTTGGTCATTGGGATATATCAGCATAGCCATGGTAGCATGCCTTGATTTCCAAAACAGTCATGTTCCTGTTAACGTATACTCTCTCCTCCCCTCTCTTGCTCTGAAAATAAAATCCCACTTTAAAACAGCCTAGTGAAGCCTCACATGTGTAAAGAAGTATGGCAGGGGCGCCTGGGTGGCTCAGTTGGTTACGCGACTGCCTTCGGCTCAGGTCATGATCCTGGAGTCCCTGGATCGAGTCCCGCATCGGGCTCCCTGCT